TTCTTTCTAATGTCTATTATTCCTTAGCTCAGAGGAGGCCCATCTTGGAGAGCCATGTGACTTATACTGAAACATTACTGTATCCCTGTTACTCTGAACTCTCCTTCTACTGTGCTTTTGCCAATAATCAGAGACATGTGTTCCACTAAGCACACATTTCTCTCCTGCCCATTTTAAATCTCCATCTCTTTCAGGGTGCTTTGAAGTTAGTGTTGAAACTTGTCATCTTATAATAATTCCCATGGCAACAAGCTGTGTGAAGACAAACAAACACAGGGTTAAGACTTCACTGCAGGAATCAAGCAGATGGAATAATCAAGCTGTGAGGGAGAAAACCTTTATTTAAACATAAATATCTTCCAGAAGAGAATGAAGCAATGAGAAAGTGACCACAAGCAGCTCAGAATGGAAAGAAGGGACTATTTGCTTATACCATTTTACCTCTCCGGTTGACCTCAGCGCCAAGCCTGTCTCTCAATAGAGCCCACGGAGGAGAACATAATGTCGGCCCAGAGCACTTATCAAAGAGAGAAAACCATGCACAGGGCTCCAGTTGGTGGCTGAGACTCACCCAGCATGGGTATGCCTAACTTTGCCCCTTGTACAGCAGAAGTAGAAGGAGGTTCATCGGTGTAAATTCAGAGAGAAGTCACCTTATCAAAGCTTGGTGGCCATGCAGCTCTAAGCCAGGCTGCTGGAGCTCTGCAGTCTCAGAGGAGGTGAGGGCAGGTGGCCAAGTGAATTCCACAACCTCAAGCATGGTGTGGCCTTAGGGAAGCCATGGTCTAACCAGGGTGGAGTGGGATGTAATACTGGGCTGAGTACTTGCTGAGGGTTGAATTGTGTCCTTTCCAGATTCATATGTTAAAGTCCTCACCCGTAGGATCTCAGAATGTGACCTCATTTGGAAATAGGGTCATTGTAGATGTAATTGAGATGAGGTTATATTGAAGTAGGATGGGCTCCATATGACCTGTGTCCTTATATAAAGGGAAAATTTGGCCCAGCCAGGGTGGCTCAGTGGTTGAGCATTGACCCAGTAACCAAGAGGTCAGTAGTTCAATTCCTGGTCAGGGTACATGTTCAATGCCCAGTAGGGGATATGCAGGAGGCAACCAATTGATGTTTCTCATTGATGTTTCTATCTCTCTATCCCCATTCCTTTCCCTTTCTCTAAAATCAATAAAATATACATATATACATATATATATAAAATTTGCACGCAGACATGCACACTGGGAGAACGCCACGTGAAGATGAAGGCAGAAGTTGGGTGATACATCTACAAGCCAAGGAACACCAAAGATTGCCAGAAAACCACCAGAAGCTCAGGGAGAGGCCTGGAACAGGCTATCCCTCACTCCTTCAGGAGGAACCAACGCTACCAACACCTTGATCTTAGACTTCTAGCTTCCATAACTGTGAGACAATACATTTTTATTGGTTAAGCCACCCAGTTTGTGGTACTATTACAGCAGTTCTAGGAGATGGTCACAGCACTTTTCCTGGAAGCTGCTCCCCAGGTTGCAGACACATGGTGCTGCTTCCTACCCTAGAGCCAAAGCAAACATCAGGCTGAGCAGTCACCATTAAACCCTGCCCCTGCAGACCTCTCTAGACTTACCAGTGCCGAGTACAGTACTGCGTGACTGAATGCTATTTGGACCATTCCTCAGAAGGTAAAGGGAGCAGGAAATCCTCATCGCTGCTCTGTCAGAATCAATGACAGATGCAGATGAAGCAGACAAGGAGAGGCAGAGGTTGATGTTGGCTCTCTTTAAACCCTACTACGTTAGAAAAGCCAACTTTTGCGTAGTGAAAAAATTCTCCAAGACCAACTCTCCAAGAAAACAAGTTCCCTTTCATGCTCAGAAGAATACAGGTTAAATTCCATTTGTAACGAGATCATATAATTACCCTATTTTAGAGGCTACTGCTTCATGGATGATGAAAAACAGTACACATGTTTCAGAGAGCTGGCATTATCGAGCATCTCCTGACAGCCACTGCTATGTCCTGGGACCATAGTGGTGAGCAAAAGGGCCCTCAGAGAGCATGCAGTCTAGTTAGTGTGGGCACCAGCTTCCAAGGGTCTCCTAATATACCTCTGAAACCAGATACAATTAGAATCCAAATGATGCCTGTTCAGTTAAATTTGATGACACACAAAATATTGTAAAAGGTGTTAGAAGAGATACAAAGACAGTTTTCTTTCTTTAAAAGTTTATAATCTAGTTAGGAGAAAAGACCATGTGTAAAAAGCTCTATTGCTATTAATTCTGTTATCAGTTCAACGTAGCTGTGGAAGCAATGCCATAAGACAGTGCATAATTCATTGACAGGTGGATTTTAAAGAAGTAATTGTGAAAGGAGTTCGTAGAGGGAAAAGTTCCTTCAATCAGGGCTGATAGGAGTGGCTTTACGGGAAGCATTTATGCTGGGTCTTGAAGACCAGCTAGGATTTGGGCAGAGGGAGAGGAGAAGAGAGAGATGGGAAATGAGAACTAAGCTGAGAGGCGAGGGGGTGCAGGGTATATTTGAAGGACCCCAAGTCAGCCAGCATGGAGTAGTAGAGACAGGGCTGAAACAAGGCTTGACTTTTAGAAATACTTTTCCAAAAAGATTTTTTTACTTTCTTAAAAGCAGTAGTACAAGCAGAACCACCACCACCATGATAATTTATTTTTTAAATTGAATTTATGGGGTGACATTGGTTAGTAAAATTAAATAGGTTTCAGGTGTACAATTTTTATTTGTGATGTATAATGAGTTGTTTGTGCATACACCTGGATGCCTCCTACCTTTTCCACAGCACTGGTGATCTCCCAACCACTTTTGGCCACCAGCTTTTTGAAAGCCTCCACATTGTCATCACTCAGGGATACCTAAAATGCAAATATTTAAAAAGCTGTGAGTTCAATGCACAGATATGGGAATATTTTCTGCTTAGAAAATGGGTACTTTTAGAGCCAAAGTGATTATGTTGAGCTTAAAACTATGCTACAGGTAACAACTTCTGTCTCAAACTCTTAATTCAGAATTCAGACAAGGTAACCTGAGGCCTGTATGTTTAGCAAATTAATATGATTTTAGTTGGTGTGCTAAGCAAAGACAAGATTGCCCTTCAGTATAACTTATTAATAAACTTGGATTTTCCTTTACACTTTATGGCCCCAAACATGAAAACAACTAATACTTTGTTGCTGTGTGATAAAAATGCAAGCTGGTGGGCATGTTTTCAGCAAAAATCGTGCTAAGACAATGTCCCCATGCAGCTCAGATGCATTTGAAGGCAGAGCATTCTGCGTTTGTAATTTGGGAACTGTACCTACAGCTCAAACAAGGCAGCAAAGCAACTGGTTGGTAACCAGTTACTGACAGCTTGGTTCTGTTTCATGGTGAGATGACTGGTTGCTATGATTCACCTTTTCATCTAACCTGCGTAAGCACAACCTGAATCATTTAAACAGGGAGTTTCTGTGTTTGCAATGATGTGATCTTTACACGAAGCACTCCAAATCATAAAACTGTCACCTGGTTGCGAATATCCCAGTGTACGCAAAGTGGAATCTCTTGTTTGTGGGAAATAACATATTTTCTGGGGGGGAAAAATAAAAATGTTAAATAACAGCTTTCTTCCCTGTATTTAGCACACAACAGTAACCATGACACACACTTTCTTGAGCTGAAATCAGCAGTTTAAAATGCTGCTTTTACTGGTGGAACAATCAGGAAGAACAATTTTCATCACTGTCAGAAAACATCAGACCTTCTCTCCTTTCATTACGTGGGACTAGACACCCAGAGAGCAGCTCTTTGTTATGCAATTTGCAAGGTAAGATCTTACACCATAAAATCCTTATACCTAGGCCCCTTACCTGCCCAGACGAATTCTCTTGCGTGCAATAGCTCCACAATACCGTCTAAAATCATCCTTTATTAAAAAACAAACAAAAAACAACAACAACAAAGTAAAATCAATAAATTTCTAATACTTTAGTGCTATAATCTTAAGTCTCTCTCTTTCCAAGTCAGCTGAAGAAGCTAACTGGGACCCAGTGTCTGTGTGAATGCTGCTCAGGTGAGAGTTGTCAATAAGGCAACTGCAAGTAGTTCCCATGAACGTGGAGCAGCACAGAGATGCGGATGTAAAGTGGGAGAAGAGAATCAGAAATGGGAAAGGAAGACACTATGCTTCCAATAGCAGTGCATGGCCCAGTTGAGGTGCGATAGGCAGGGCCCCCAGTGAGACAGTATAGGGGTAATATCTGGACTCCATCTTGGAGGCCTGACTATGGCTCCTTGCTTAGGAACCTTCCCATAGTTGAAATTAACCTAATCACATCCTTAAAGGGAAGAATGCACAATAGATCCCTTCTTAACATCGTGTTCTGCAAAATAGTTGCTTTGTCTATTAAGTGGTAACTAGAATATTTGCCCAAGCATTATTTTAGGCCCTTTGAGTGGTCCACTGACCATGGAAAATATCTGTGACTACCCCGGGATCAACCACCGCCAGGTGACGATCATGGGACAACTGACCTCCTCCTCATCCCCAAGCCCGACACCCACCCCAAGCCATCCACAAGAACCCTCCGGGAGCTCGACCTCTCTTTTCTGGTCAACTCCCTTGTGCACAAGCTCTTTTCAATAAATTCTATCTGCTTGATCTTGTTCTGAGTGCTCATTTTTATGACATTACAACTCAAGGACCTGGCATTTCAACAAAAGATTAGAGTAATTTGGAGGAAAAAAGAAAAAGTCCATGGTGCTAATAACTTACCTTAGATATGGGTTTGATTTTGGGAAATGTGACCAGTTCTTCCTTATCATCGACAGCTTTATAAATGAGAAAAGCACTGTTGATATGACGGCCCAGGCCCTCGGACCACTCCTGGCAGTCAAAGGCCTCCACGCGCACTCCCACTTCGACACTGCAGAGGGCGACACAGGGCGGTGGGCAGAGAACCAGAGCTCACTGGGCCTCCTCTGCCCACCACCTCCTCCTCCAAGCACGGAAGAAAATGAGGGTACTGGTTTTTCCTCTGTGGTTTGCAAATCTATGCAATGGTTAAAATCCATTTCTCCAGGTCGACAGATCAGATGTGCAAGCCCTGAGGGCATTTCGGCTTTACTTTCCCACTTTCTGGTGGGAAAAAGGCCAATTGTGAGTTTGTATATATTCATGAACATATTTTGGTAATGGGGAGGGGAGTTTAAATTATGCCAAAGTCAAGTTTTCTCCCCTCAAAATAATAATTCTGTGATTAAAAAGCATCAAACACTGAAATTGGACAGGAAATACATATATTCCTTTTTACATTTAAAAATAAAAAATACTAAAAAAATACAAAATTAAATCTTTTCTTTGTATATTAAGAGTAATAAAAGTAACTGGAAAGTGGCTTGGACTTCATGGTTGACCACACAGTCACTGGGACTCTTTTGAGAATGAAAGGAAGAGTTAATAATTACAACAGGTATAAACCAGTACCATTCTGGTCAACTGAGACATACAGTCACTCTTTTTTTTTTTTTTAATATATTTTATTGATTTTTTACAGAGAGGAAGGGAGAGAGATAGAGAGCCAGAAACATCGATGAGAGAGAAACATCGATCAGCCGCCTCCTGCACATCTCCCACTGGGGATGTGCCCGCAACCAAGGTACATGCCCTTGACCGGAATCGAACCTGGGACCCCTCAGTCCGCAGGCCGACGCTCTATCCGCTGAGCCAAACCGGTTTCGGCTACAGTCACTCTTATAAAAACCAACCTACCACAATTTACTCAGTATAAGGAGGCCTCTAGTAGAATACAGGGTTAAAATGTGTACAAATTTTGAAAACTGAATGGGAAAAAAAAAAAAGAAAGAACTTGGTGATTTTAAACTAGTCCCTATATTCACCTCCAGATTGAAATAGAAATTTTAAAACATATTTATGTGCAAGTTCGAATTCGTTTATAGCAGCCGAAGACCACTACACACACTTTACCAGGTCTGAAACGTATTGTTGACAATGGCATTGAAGACAAGACGATCTCCCACTGTGGATGGTCCTCGGAACTTAAACATGTCCACAGACTTCAGAACCGGGTGCGCCCGACAGAGGCGGCTGTTGACACAAAAGGAAGGAGAGGAGAAATAGATCATTCTCCGAAATATTTTCAGGGACTGCTGATTCGCTTCACAGGCACAACAGACCAGTGTCCCGTGTACTTTCTAAGCAAACATCTTTTAACTCTAGTGAAACAAATGACTAGATCATGTGTGTTGAGAGTGGTTCTGTACACCGCCTGCAAATGCTTTGGGAAATACCATGTCCCCCAGCCGTGGGGTCTTTACCAAGATGCTGT